TTATTCATGATTGTCTCAGAAGGTTGCATGTTTCTAGGAATTTACCCGTTTCTTCTTGGTTGTCCAATTTGTTGGCATTCCTTTACGATTCTTTGTATATCTGTGGTATCAGGGGTAACATCTCCTCTTTCATTTCTGATTTTATTTGTTTTATTTGTTGGAGTCTTCTCTGTTTCTTGGTTGTTCTGGCTAAACGTCTGTCAATTTTGTTTAGCTCTTCAGAGAAACAGCTCGTGGTTTCACTGATCCTTTCTTTTGTCTTTTTATTCTCTATTTCATTTATTTCTGTTCTGATCTTTATTATTTTCTTCTTTCTGTGCAACTTTTTGGTATGTCTAAAATTAATTCAAAATAAGTTTGTAGGGGATATACACAAAACATTAGCATCCAGAAAGATTTAAGTGAAAAAAGTATGAAGGAAAAAAAGTCAAAAAATGAGAAAACAGACATTGCTGTATTTATCGAAGGTAAAACAGGCTTTAAAGCAAAAAGCATGATTTTGGAAAAAGATGATCTCTACAAAGGATAAAAGGAATACCTCACCACGATGTATAATAATTTTAAATGTGTACATGCCTGGTAATAATATAAAAATATAGTAAGCAAAAAAGAACAGATTTCCTAGAAGAAATTGACAAATCAACTATTAAAGTGGGAATCTGGGGGGCGCCTGGGTGGTTAAACACTCGGTTAAGCATCTGACTCTTGATTTCAGGTCAGGTCATGAGACCAAGATCCACGTTGGGCTCCTTGCTGACAGTGTGGAGCCTGCTTGGGATTCTCTCTCTCTCCCTCTCTCTCTGCCCCTCCCCCACTCACGTGTGTGCCCACATGGTCTCTCTCACATAAAATGGACATTTACAAAATCTTGAAAACAAAGTGGGAATTTTTAACACAGCTTAGGTAGGAAGAAAACTTGAAGAAAGGGGTGTCCTAGAAGCCAAAGAAAGAGGGATTAAGGAGAAGGCACATAGAGGGCTATCCCTGGCACACATCAAAAGATAACTGTCATACCCATTAGGATGGCTGCAATTAAAAAAAAAATAGCAAGTGTGAACAAAGATATAGAGAAATTGGGACCTTTATGTATTGTTAGTGGGAATGAAAATGGTACAGCTGCCGTGGAAAACAGTATGGTAGTTCCTCAAAAAATTAAGAGAATGATTATCATACAATCCAGCAATCCCACTTCCGAGTATATACCCAAAAGAATTGAAAGTCTCAAAGAGGGGCGCCTGGGTGGCTCAGTCAGTTAAGTGTCGACTTTGGCTCGGGTCATGATCTCGTGGTTGGTGGGTTCGAGCCCCGCGTCCGGCTCTGTGCTGACAGCTCAGAGCCTGGAGCCTGTTTCAGATTCTGTGTCTCCCTCTTTCTCTGACCCTCCCCTGCTCATGCTGTCTCTTTCTCTCTCAGAAATAAAAAAAAGCCAAAAAACAAAAAGAAAGTCTCAAAGAGATATTTGTACACCGTGTTCAAAGCGTCATTACTCACAATAGCTAAAACATGGAAGCAACCCATGTTGGATGAATGAATGGATAAGGAAAATGTGCTCTATATATGTAATCGAATATTCTTCAGCCTTCCTTTTTAGGAAGGAAATTCTGACACCTGTTACAACATGGATGAACCTTGAGGACATTATGCTAAGTGAAAGAAGCCAGTCACAGAAAGACAAATATTGAATGATTTCACTAACGTGAGGTATCCAGAGTCCTCAAATTCAGACAGAAAGTACAATGGTGATTGCCTGGGTTGGGGGGAGTCGGGGAGTATGGAATTGTCCAATGGAGACAGAGTTTCAGTTTTACAAGATGAAGAGCTATGGAGATTGGATGGTGGTGATGGACGTACAACATTATGAATGCATTTACTACCACTGAACTATGTAATCATGACTGCACAACTACTCAGCAGCCAGAGGGAGCTTTTTAAAAAATAAATAAATCACCTCATCTCCTTGCTTAATGCCTTCCAGTGGCTCCCTAGTGCTCCCACATAAAACCTACCTTCTCGCCTTGGCCTGAAAGGCTGTGAATGATCTGGCCCCTGACTCCCTCTCTTCCAGTAGGGGAGTGACAACATTCCTTCCAGCCATTGCCTTTCCTTCCTTCCTTCCTTCCTTCCTTCCTTCCTTCCTTCCTTCCTTCCTTCCTTCCTTCCTTCCTTCCTTCCTTTTCCCTCCTTCCTTCCTTCCTTTTCCTCCCTTCCTTCCTTCCTTCCTTCCTTCTCTTCTTCTTCTTCTTCCTTCCTTCCTTCCTTTCCTTCCTTCCTTCCTTTTCCTTCCTTTCCTTCCTTCCTTCCTTTTTCTTCCTTCCTTCCTTCCTTCTTTCACGTTTATTTTTGAGAGAAAGAAAGAGAATGTGCACGTGAGCGGGGGAGGGGCAGAGAGTCTGAAGCAGGCTGTGCTGACAGCAGAGAGCCTGATGCGGGGCTCGAATCCATGAACCACAAGATCATGACCTGAGACAAAGTCAAACGCTCAAATGACTGAGCCACCAAGGCACCCCAGTCATTGCCTTTTCTTAAATACATCAAGGTTATTCCCACCTCAGGACCTTTGTCCTTACTGTTCCCTCTAATAAGCTCTTCCCTCAAATCTTTGCTCAACTGTCTCCTTTTCATCTGTTCAGGTCTTTTTTCTTTTTTTTATATTTACTTTTGAGAGAGAGAGAGAGACAGAGCATGGACAGGAGAGGGGCAGACGGAGGAGACAGAGAATCTGAAGCAGGCTCCAGGCTCCAAGCTGTCAGCACAGTGCCTGACATGGGGCTCGAATCCATGAACCACGGGCATGATCTGAGCCAAAGTCAGATGTTTTAACCGACTGAGCCACCGAGGTTCCCCATCATCTGTTCAGGTCTTAACCCAAATATTTCTTTCTCAAAAAGGTATTCTCTGACCATTTTAGCTAAAGTTGCCCCTCCATACACTTCTATTCTCTTATCCTTTTGCCTTTTCTTTTCTTTTTAAGATTTTTTAAAAAAGTAATCTCTATACCCAAAGTGGGGCTCAAAGTTACAACCCTGAGATCAAAAGTCGCACGCTCTGCTCTACCAACTGAGCCAGCCAGGTGCCCCAATTTTCTGTATAGATCTTATCTTCCTGATGTAATTACTTACTTTTGTAACGCTCATATCCTCCATTAGAATATAAGGTTTCCAAAGGTCAGGGGCTGTGTGTGTAGTCCCCTGCTGAGTTCCTACTGTCCAGAACTGCATTTGCCCCTATGGTAGCCACTGGCCACAGGTAGCTATGTAAATTTAAATCCATTAAAAGTAAATATTAAGAGTTCAGTTCTTCAGTTACACTAATCACATTTCAACTAGCCACCTGTGGCTAACAGCGACCATAGTAGATAGTGCAAAGAAAATTTCCAACATTCCAGAAAGTTCTGCTGGACAACACTGCTCTAGAACCCAGCTACCCAGTGAGTGTGTTATAAAATAAAGATATTTTAGGGACACCTGGGTGGGTCAGTCTGTTGAGCATCAGATTCTAGATTTCGGCTTGGTTCATGATCCCAGGGATGTGGGATGGAGCCCTATCTTGGGCTCCACGCTGGACATGGAGCCTGTTTGAGATTCTCCCTCTGCCCTTCTCCACTGTTTGCACACTCTCTTAAAAAATAAAAGAAAATAAATAAATACATACATTTAAAAAAAAAAGATACATATTTTATTTATTTTGAGAGACAGAGACAGCACATGTTCGAGCAGGGAAGGGGCAGAGAGAGAAGGAAAGAGAGGATCCTAAGGATGGAGCCCAACCATGGGTCTCACTCCCATGAATGGCAAGATCACAACCTGAGCAGAGATCAAGAGCCAGGGGCTCAACTGACTGAGCCACCCAGACACCCCAAAAATATATTTTTAATCCTCATCTTATGAGGGAGAAAAACATAGGTCAGAGAAGTTGTGTTATTATTCCAAGGCCACACAGCCAAGAGGCAACCTAGCACGAATTTGAATGCAGGGTTGTGTTACTCCAAAGCACATGATTCTTTCTTTCTTTCTTTCTTTCTTTCTTTCTTTCTTTCTTTCTTTCTTTCTTTTTTAAAGTTTATAGATTTATTTTGAGAGAGAGAGAGAGAGAGAGAATCCCAAGCAGGCTCTGCACCTCCAGTACAGAGCCCAAAGGGGCCTATGGGAACCTCGAACCCACAAACTGAGGGATCATGACCAGAGTGGAAGTTGGATGCGCAACCAACTGAGCCACCCAGGTGCGGAGCCCCCCGGCCCCCCCTTCTTAAGAGCCAGCAGCCTCTTGGCTGTTTAAAGAGGCACAGGGTTCTCCTGTACTCCTACACATCCTCCAACCTGAACTTGTCCCTAACTGAAGAAGGTGTGGGCAGCTTCATGGAAGGATTGTTGCCCAAGGCATTGAAAGATTTGGGGTCTGTCCTGATTTCATCTCCGATCCGTTGCTGTTCCACAGTAAGTCTCTATGCCTCTCTGGGTCTCAGCTGTACGTCTACAAAACGAAGAAACTGACCCTGTGGCCTGAGGATAAAAAGGAGATGGCGGGCAAGGGGTGACAGGGTACCCTTTTCGGGTCCTGCCTGGCTCAGAGGCAGCCCAGCATGAGGAGCAGGGTGGGGGTGGAAGCGCTTTAGTTGGTTTAATCCACAGTAGCAGCTCTTGCTGCTTGCATGCCTACAGATGAAAACGCTGAGGCTCACCGAGGTGAAGTAATTCGGCCAGGAGAACTGGGGATTCGAACCTGAGACTCTCGGACCCCATGCGCTTGCCGCGCAGCCAGAGTCGGGGCCCATAGGAATCACAGGGAGGCGCTTACCGGTGAAAGGTGGTGAGCTCCCCGTGCCTGGGGGTGTGCAAGTCGGCGCTGGGCCACGCGCGGAGCCGCGGCTGGTGCCCGGGCGCGGACCGCAGAGCCTCCCGCAGGCCCCTTTCCGCCTCCAGCGGCGGCCCCGGCCGAGGCGCGAGCGCGGCGCCGCCGGGGCGGGGCGGGGGCTGCTATTTCGGTCCGGTGAGCGCAGCCCGCGCCGCGAGGCGGGGGAGGGGGCGCCCGCGCCGCCATCTTCGCTCCCGCCGGCCGGCCCCGCGGCGCGCAGCCACCATGAGCACCGCCGCCTTCCACATCTCCAGCCTCCTGGAGAAGATGACGTCCAGCGACAAGGACTTCAGGTGCGCCCCGCCGCCCGGCCCCCGGCCCTCCGCCTCCCACCGAAACCCGGGCCTTCTTCGTCTCCAGTCGCGCCGGCCCATCCCCCACGAGCGTGCAGCCCCTGCCCCTCGCCCCGCGTTAAGCGCCACCCCTCCCACGACCCCCGCCCCGCTGTTTCCCGCGTCGCAGCCCTGCGCTCTCTGCGGTGCCAGCTTCCTCACCGTGCGCGCTTCGACCCCTGCCTCTGCCCCAGGTCGGAGCCCGGCTCCGCCCCTCTACACCCTTCCTCGGCCTTCCCTCCACCTGTGCTCAGCCCTCGTCTCTCCCCGTGGCTGCTGCGCCCAGGGCCCCCCACTTCAGCCCACGGTGAAGCCCCCAGCCCCTCCTCGGGGATCCCGGCGCCTGCCTCTTCGCTGCACTGAAACTCAGCCCCTTGTCGGGCCCACAACCCGGGGTCTGACTTTTCCACTGATACCCTCAGCACCGCCCTCTTCTTAAAGCCATCCCAGGCCTCCTCCCGGCCCTTCGTCAGGGCATCTTCTCCCCTCCCCTCCCCTCCCCTCCCCGGTTTGCTCCGACACAGCCTGAAGGAGGGAGCTGGGCTGAGTGGCTTTGCAGGCACTGGTAGGTGATGGCTGGGGTGGGGGCTTTTAGGTTTTGGGTGCCACTCCCCTTATCGTTGTTCCCCTTCCGCCAGACATCGCTGAGCCACACAGGAACAGAGCTGGAAAGGATGCAGGAAACCTCTCCTTCAACCCCTTCATCCTCGGGGGAAGCTGAGGCCCCTGGAGGCTAAAGGGATTGGCCCTGGTCACACAGCCAGTTCTGGACCCTGGGAGATGAAAGGAGCCCACAGAGACCAACATAACCCATTTGCTGAACATTCTGTCGCTTCATCCCCAGTTTACAGACAGGGAAATGGAGGCTCAGAGTCACAAGGGGCTAGTTGCAGTCCCAGAGGTACGAAGTGGAGGATTTGGGGTCCAAATCCAGGTCAGTCTTAACCCAGAAGCTGAGATCTTAGCAAGGCCTCCTGCTTCCAACCCTCTGACAGGTGAGGAGATTGAGGCCCTGTTCTGACACCCAATCCTCAGCACCCCTCAAGAGCCTCTAGTAGAGCGGCACCTGGGTGGCTTAGTTGGTTAAGCATCCGACTTTCGCTTGGGTCATGATGTCGCGGTTTGTGGGTTCGAGCCCCCCGTCGGGCTCTGTGCTGACTGCCAGCTCAGAGTCTGTGACTCCCTCTCTCTCTGACCCTACCCTGCTCACGCTGTCTCTCTCTCTCCTAGAGATAAATAAAACATAAAAAAAAAAAAAAAAAAAAGAGCCTCTAGTAGAGCTTTAGGACACAAGGCCAGACCTTGGCCCTACCCACTTGCTGGCTGTGTGACTGTGGACTTCTGAGCCTCACCTTCTGTTTCTGTAAGATGGGATAATAATAGAACCCACCTCAGAGGGCTGGTGTATGTCTGGGAAAAGTTAATACCTGTGCCTAGATTAGTGGCTGGGGCCGGGTAAGCGCTTAATACATCGTCACGTATGATTGATTCCGCGCACATCAGAAACCTGCCATGCCCTCTGCCCTCTCTTTACTGGTAACCCCGAGCCCCTTTCTTTTCCTCCGGTCACCTGGCTAGCCCCTACTCTTTTGTCACCTCTTCGGGATGCCTCCTGTCACCCAGGCAGGGTTGGGGACCTCCCCTGGGCTCCCACCGGACCTTCCCCGCCCCATGTTTCTACTGCTTTGCTTCCAGCCCCTGCACCGGGTTTGTGTGTTTCCTTTTTGCATTCCAGAATCCGCTCGGGGTACACAGAAGGTGCTCAGTGAATGTTTTCTGTGTCCCAGGCTCCCTGCTGTGCTGTCCAGTGCAGCCTCATTCAGTCCCCCCCCCCCCCCCCCCGCCCCGGTGGTGTGATTGTCTTTCCTGTTCTCCAGAGGCTTGGAGAGGTGAAATGACTTGCCCAAGGTCACGTAGCCGGCTAGTGGCCGAGGGGATTTGCACCACTGTCTCTTGGGCCCCAGGTCCAGTCTCCAGGAGAGGGATTTGGACCTGCCATCCAGAGCCAGAGAAGCCCTTTCAGCCTGCTCTGCTGGAGAACACTTAAAACCATCCCAAGCATATGAGGATGGTGTCTATTTTTAAAATCCAAATACCAGGAAGGCTGGGTCCTGCTGGCCAACTGTCCAGATGCCCATGCGGCAGATTATTTCAGCTGAGTTGCTTCTAGGGTTTCTCAGGAATGAAACTGAAACTGTGTCCTCTGGCTTCTGGATGCAGAAGTGGGGGTCCTGGGCAGGGTAGAGGAAGCCTTTGATCCATGTTGTCCCTCTGGGCAGGAGGCTGCTCGGTTCCCACTCAGACTCCAGCAGCCAGATGGGTAACTGAGGGGTCGGGCAGGACTTCCCAAAGCATTTTTGGAAAACACAGTAGTAATTGTTGAGGAGCCAGAGACCTGACTGGTGGGCGGAGTCTCCTCCCGACTTGCTGTGTGTCCTTGGACAGTTCCTACAGCCTCTCTGTGCCTGGTTCTCCCATCTGCCTCATGAGAAGAGCTGGTTGTCCTGTTGAAACCTCCCAAGGATGTTATGAAGTGGGGCAAAGAAAATTTCCCCTTCATAGGTGGAAAAAATGAGACTCAAGAGAGGAGTCAGTTGCCTAATTCGCCTAAGATGAGTGAAGCCACACTTAAGTGCTCAAGCTCTTAGCTGCCAAATTGTACACGTGACACCGCCTACTGCCACCACCATGTCCATATATGCAGTACGGCTTTCTTTCTCTGTGAGCTGGGTATTTGCAGGAACTTGGGGTGTCTGAAGTGCTGAGGCATCTCTCAGAGGGTTGGTTTCTGAGTTCGGGTTTCCACACCCCACTTGGCTGTTACAGGCTGGCTCTCTCCCTCCTGCCCCTCCTGCCCTCGCCTTGCCTCCCAGGCCCTCTCCGGCCCTGTTCTTTGCTGGGTCTGGGGTCCCAGGGGTGAACCCAATGGGCCCTTGTGAGTTCACAGTCTAATGAGGAGACACGCTGGTGACCAAGCTTGTAATGCAGCCTGAGGAGTGCTGTGATGAGGAGGGCAGAACGCTCTGACAGTCCTCTCCAGGGGGAACCCAGCGTGATTAGAGACTGTGGGTTGGGGACAGGGCAGGGTGGTCAGAGGAGTCATCCCTGAGGCCGGGACATTTGAACTGGGCCCTTGACAGTCGAATAGGAGTTCAACAGCGAAGAAAGACGGGGACAGGAGGCTCATCTCGGGCAAAGGAACACATTCCTTCAGTTGCCAGGCTGAGCTGGGTCTCTGTGAACTGCAGCAGAAATGCAGCTTAGAGACCCTGGCTGCCATCTCAGAGTGCCCCCTCAGCCAGGCAGACCTAGGAACGCATGTGCCTACCCCACGCCTTGGCCTGGCTCAGCTGCAAACCTCCTTCACCCTGGCTCAGCTGCAAACCTCCTTCACCTTACCTTGGCTGTATCTGCAATGAGGAGACCCAGAGGTGGGCACCCGCAGCCCCGCCACTCCCTCCTGGCCTCCAGCCCAGCCTCCTTCCTTTCAGCAGCTTGAGGCTAATCCCAGCTGTTAAAAATAAACAGCAGGGACGGCGACCAGTGCCTTCCTGGTAACAGGGTGCTGGGGCCTCCCTGCGACATCAAGCAGCAGGTCTGAACCTGCAGTGATGAGGCTGGAATCCAGACTGTGATCGATTTTGCCACAGGAGGCCTGGGAGGAGCGGGGACAGAGCCGGCTCAAGCCCAGAAGCAAGGCTGGTGTGAGGAGGCGGGGTGGTCTGGGGGGTCAGCAAACGCTGGAGGCTTTCTCTGGGGCAGACTTTGCTGTGCTCGCTTCGGCAGCACATATACTAAAATTGGGGCAGACTTTGCTGCAGCCTCCCTCGCTGCCCTGGTCTTCCCCAGTGTGTCCTCGTGGGTGCCTGCGGGAGCCAGGGAACGGGTGCGGTGGGCCTGGTGGCGGCCTGGTGGGCTGGAGAGAGTGTCCCACCCGAGGAGGGCAGCCACGCCTGGAGCAGCCAGCTCTTGTCCCCGGGGGCTGTCGGCCCAGTTGCATCCAAATACTCTAGTTTCAGGAGAGTCTGGAAAGCACGACTTGTACATCAACTTTCCCAGTTTTCCAAATGTTGATAAATGTATTTTTTGAAAAGCAGCTGCAAGGCACACACAGCTGAGGGCCTGCTCTGCCTTCTTAATCTTGGCAGCAACGGTGCTCCGTGATGCTCTTGCAGCCCCGGCTCGTGGCCTGCCTCTCCGTGCAGTTTTCCTTCCCCAGAACATAGCATCCGGCTGCACAGATCTGCCCACCTGTGGGTGGGCAGTGCTTGGCTCTGAGGCCCACTCTGGGTCAGGGGGCCATGGCTGGGAACTGGTCAGCTGTTGACACCAGCATCTACGATGTGCTTGTGGCCCATGAGCATGGCCTAGTGCAGTAGTTCAATGGCAGTGCTGTTTACTGGGTGCTCACTGTATGCTAAGTCCATCGTGTACGTTATTTCATTTTAACTTCCATACAACCCCACAAGGCAGGTGCTATTCTTTTTTTTTTTAATTTATTTTTTAATGTTTATTCATTTTCGTGAGAGACAGAACACGAGCAGGGGAGGGGCAGAGATGGAGAGGGAGACACAGAATCTAAAACAGGCTCCGGGCTCAACTGTCAGCACAGAGCCTCACGTGGGGCTCGAACTCTGGAATGGTGAGATCATGACCTGAGCTGAAGTTGGACGTTTAACCAACTGAGCCACTCAGTTGCCCTGGCAGGTTCTATTCTTATCCATTTTTTTCCCCTGATAGGTAAACCAGGGCTCAGAGAGGTGATGTGTGACATGCCCAAGTTCACATTCACATAAATGGCAGAAGCAGGAGCCACTGACCTCAGCGCACTCAGCGTTTGGCCAGGGTGCTGTGCCACTCATAGCGGGCCACCGTGTGGCAGTTGGTGTCTTGTACATGCATCCCCCTGTAGCCTGACATGCCTACAGCCCAGATAATCTACTTGCCCTTCAATCTTTGTATCGAGGTCTGCTTCTGGGGGAACGCTGAGATACGTCCCAAATTCCTGGGGCCCGGGAGCTGCTCAGTAATCCTCCTCTGCCCTCGGTCCCAGGTTCATGGCCACCAGTGACCTGATGTCAGAGCTGCAGAAGGACTCCATCCAGCTGGACGAGGACAGCGAGCGCAAGGTGGTGAAGATGCTGCTCAGACTCCTAGAGGACAAGAACGGCGAGGTGCAGAACTTGGCCGTCAAGTGGTGAGTTTTGGCCTTGGTACGGACGGGGCAAGGCCAGGTCTGACAGGGCCCCAGGGATCCCTGCCCTTTTGGGGTGCAGCTTCTGAGAGAATAGTTGCTGAGCAGCTCTTGAAGTCCCAGAGGTGGTGGCCATTGCCGTGGTCTGGATTTCCCCAGAAGTCGACCCAGTGACAAGGATTCAAGTGCAAGTTTATTTGGGAAATGATAACAAAAAACTCCAGTAAGGGAATAGGGAAGTGAGTAGGGAAGAAAGCCAATAGTGTGAAATATCAAGCAAGATAATGCTGTGGGCAGGTGGTGCTTAACCCTGCAGGGGGCCTTTGGGACACAGTTGTAGGACACGCCCTGCAGAGCTTTCCACCGCCCAGCTGCCAGTCTGGTTGAGGGCTGTTCCCAAGGTAGCATGGAGGGTTATGTATTCCATGCCGCCTTCAGCATGGAGAGAAAGCCCTTAGCGCACATGCAGGTACAGGCAGCTGGAAGGTCATGTGGGCATGCAGCAGAGTGGTGAGGGCTAAAGAGTCGGGGGGTTGGAGGGGTGTGCAAAAGCCTTTGCCTTGGGCACTCTGAGGTTGCAGTCCTGAGACCTTGGAGAGTTCCCTTTAGAGCTGCAGCAGCAAGGTGAGGTACGTGCAGGGCACACATGCATCTAGGTGGAGGCTTGAGGAATGGCAGGGGTTAACGAGAACTGGGGCATCGCCTCTCCAACTCTGTGAGCTGAGCCCAGGCTTTCTGGGCCGTCTTCATGAATTTCAACTTGCTCGTAAGAGCAGAGGGAGTTCAGTAGAGTTTTATGCAGGCATGTGACACAGTCATGTTTGTAGTCTGGAAGCATCTTTCTGGCCATGGAGTAGACACAAGATAGATAGGGTGGATGGTGGTTTCAAGTAGCGGAACCAGTAGCACAGCAGTATGTGCTCCAGTATGTAAATGCTTGGGCACACTGACCGAAGTCGTAATAAAGTCATGGAAAGCGTGCCCTAAATGTAAGCTCATGTGCGGGCTGTGGCAGCTGGTAGGGAGAGATATGTATGGATGCTGGGGACTCAGATCCCGCAAGCAGCCTTGCTCTTAGTGACGAGATTTTCTGAAATGGTGAACATCTGGTAGTCTCCCCAAAAATCATGTACAGTCTTTCTTCGATTTACCTGAACAAAATTTAGAGTATATTAAAATAATATAAAAAGTACCTTGTGTTTATATGTAAATTGAAAGTAGATTTTGGACTCAGATAATTCTAGAAAGGATTTTTTTCCTATACAAATGCTCAGTGAGGTGTCAGAAACTCTAGCAAGACATGGAACATGTTCTGTTTTGCAATATTGTCTTTCCCAGGCATCCCCACCACCCCCGAAATAAAAGCCAGAAGCGACCCCTCATTAGTTATAATGACCAAAAAAGGCCCCCATAAATTTCCAGAACACCCTTGAGGGCACTACACCCCAATCAGGAACTATGGGAGGTGGAAATGGGAACATTCCTATGATTACTTAGATGCAGGAGTTGCTGGGAAAAAACAAGAGAGCCAGGGTTTGCAAACTGGTATGCATTGGAGTTCCCTGGGACCCTTGTGAAGGCTGTGTATTCCCCACCCAGGGATTCAGATCCAGGAGTGGGAGGGGTGGGGAGTGGGGGCTAAGGTAGGCAGATGAGAAGGCAGCACCTGGGAATCTGCATTCTAATGCACGCCGCCATCTCAGAACCACTCATTTAGGTCAGAGGTTTTCAGCTCTAGCTGCACAGTAGAATCACCTAGGGAATTCAAAACAAAACAAAACAAAAAAGCCCTGCCAGTGTCCAGGCCACCCCTGAAAATCAATGAACTCAGATTATTTGGGGCTAGCACCCAGGTGACAATTTTTTAAAGGTCCCAGGTGATGGCAATGCACAGTTAAGGCTGAGAACTAGTATGTTTAGTGTAGCTATTTTTAAACCTCAGCGTGGATTCAAGTCACCTGGGGCCTTTGTTGAGCTGCAGATTCTGGTTCAGTAGCTCTAGGGTAAGACTCTTGACAAGTTCCAGGTGGTGCTGGTGACACTCATGATGTTGATCTGTGACTACAGTAGGCAAAACAATGCTCTAAGGCCGAGGTTCTGAACATGTGGTTCCGGGACCACCAGTATCAGCATCTACTGAGAACTTAATAGCAATGCACATTTTCAGGCCCCATCTAGACCTCCTGAATCTGAAAATCTGGGGTGGGGCCCAGAAATCTGTTTTAACAAGTCCTCCAGTGGACCCTGATCCATGTTCAAGTTTGAGAACCACTGCTCTCCTGCATTCCTTGGTTTCCAGCTGAGGTTACTGGGTTCACTGGTTTGGCCACACACTGAGATGCAAAACCCAGGAGATGGTGCAGGTTTGGGAGGTTGGGAGGTGCCAGGAATGATGTTGGCAGAGCCAGAGGATGCCTCTCTTTCTGGCAGAATAGGGAGTCCCTGTTCATCTGGAGCCTTTTCCTCAGCCCATGTGGCCCCATGGGCCTGCGGGGACCCAAGGAGCAGCATGACTCAGGCTGAGCCTGGGAATTTTGGACCCCATTCCCCCCTCCCCATTCAGCCTGGGTCCTCTGGTGGGCAAAGTGAAGGAGTACCAGGTGGAGACCATCGTGGATGCCCTCTGTGCCAACATGCAGTCGGATAAGGAGCAGCTCCGAGACATTGCTGGCATCGGCCTCAAGACTGTTCTGTCGGAGCTCCCCCCTGCAGCCACAGGTACCTGGGGCCCAGGAATCAGATGCTATCATCATTTGTCCTACTTTACAATGAAAGAAACCGGGGCTCAGAGAGGTGAAGAGACTTGCCCAAGGCTAGTCAGCTAGTAAGTGGCAGAGAATTCAGACCCAGATCTGTTTAACTTCATGGCTCTGTGTCAGGAAGGCTTTAGCTGCAAGTAGCAGAACCCAATGACAGCTTGAAGTACAGGGTTGCTTTTCTCACATAATTCTGGAGGGATCAGCCATTCCACTTTTGTAGCAATTCATTTAGCAGCTCAGTTAGGACAGGGGTGAGGTCTCTGCCTATGTCTCTTGTCTTTTATAAGGAAAGCACATGTTTCTCCAGAAGGCCTCAGACGACTTCTGCCTGTAGCTCACTGGCCAGTACACGGTCACTTGGCCCCTGCTGGGAGGAGGGGTATCTAGGAAAGGAGCTTCTCCCGCTTCCCTAGTTAGAAGGTGGAAGGCAGAGGAGTTGGGTACGGGGTGAACCAGCCCAATTCAGCTTCCTTAGCTGACGCCTTTAGTTCTGGGAGACTCTGGGTCAAACCTGGGAGCATGTAGGGTCAGCGGAATTCTCAGGGATGTGGGCTTAGGAACATAATGACAGCCAAGGCTGACCAGAGGTGGAGGCCAGCCCGGGCCTCACTGTGCCATCCCTGTGCTCTGTGTAGGCTCTGGCCTGGCTACCACCGTGTGCCGGAAGATCACCGGCCAGCTTACCAGTGCCATTGCCCAGCAAGAGGATGTGGCTGTGCAGTTGGAAGCCCTGGACATCCTCTCTGACATGCTGAGCAGGTACAGGAGGCCACCCCGGGCAAGGAGGGCTGGGACAGGGGGCCAAGGGGACAGCAAGGGACTCAGGTCCACAGAGCCAGCACTCAGGGCACACCAGGCTCCGTGCTTGGGACCCCTTAATTGTCCTGGCAGCCCTGGGAAGGAGAACTCCTTTGTCACGATTCTATAGTCTCTGAGCTCTGCCCGAGGTCACAGTCAGCACCAAGGTAACAGGAAGTGGCACAACCTGGGGTTGAATTCAGGTCTCTCCAATCCCTGAAGCCTGTGTGTGTTCATCCTCTCTCTCACCCCCTTCTTTCTCTTTTTCTTCTTTTGGGCTAATGTAGCTGAGCCTTCGTGTGTGTGTGTGTGTGTGTGTGTATTTTTAATTTACATCCAAGTTAGTTAGCATATAGTGCAATAAGGATTCCAGGAGTAGATTCCAGTGATTCATTCCCTGTGTATAACACCCATTGCTCATCCCAAAAAGTGTCTTCCTTAATGCCCCTTCCCCATTTAGCCCCTCCCCCACCCACTCTAGCAACCCTGAGTATGTTCTCTGTATTTAAGAGCCCCTTATGTTTTGTCTCCTTCCCTGTTTTTATATTATTTTTGCTTCCCTTCCTTTATGTTCATATATTTTCTATCTTAAATTCCTCATATGAATAGTGAAGTCACCTGATATTTGTCTTTCTCTGACTAATTTCATTTAGCATAATACTCTCTAGTTCCATCCACTTAGTTGCAAATGGCAAGATTTCATTCTTTTTGATTGCCGAGTAATACTCCATTATATATGTATACCACATCTTTATCAATCTGTCCATCAATGGACATCTGAGCTTTTTCCATACTTTGGCTGTTGTCAATAGTGCTGCTATAAACATTGGGGTACATGTGCGCCTTTGAAACCGCATACCTGTATCCCTTGGAAAAATACCCTGTAACACAATTGTGGGGTCGTAGGGTAGTTCTATTTTTAAATTTTGGAGGAACCTCCATACTGTTTTCCAGAATGGTTGCACCAGTTTGCATTCTCACTAGCAGTGCAAAAGAAATCCCCTTTCTTTGCATCCTCGCCAACATCTGTTGTTGCCTGATTTGTTAATGTTAGCCATTCTGACAGGTGTGAGGTGGTTTCTCATTGTGGTTTTGATTTGTATTTCCCTGATGATGAGTGATGTTGAGCATTTTTTCATATGTTTGTTAGCCATATGGATGTCATCTTTGGAGAAATGTCTATTCATGTCTTTTGCCCATTTCTTCACTGGATTATTTGTTTTTTGGGTGTTGAGTTTGAGAAGTTTTTTACAGATTTTGGATACTAATCCTTTATCTAATATGTCCTTTGCAAATATCTTCTGTCATTCCATCGGTTGCCTTTTAGTTTGCTGATTGTTTCCTTCGCCATCCAGAAGCTTTTTGTTTTGATGAGGTCCCAATAGTTCATTTTTGATTTTGTTTCCCTTGCCTCTGGAAAGTTGATGGCTTCCTGTCTTACATTTAGGTCTTTCATCCATTTTGAGTTTAGTTTTGTGTGTGGTGTAAAAAGGTGGTCTGGGTTCATTTTTCTGCATGTCACTGTCCAGTTTCCCCAGCACCATTTGCTGAAGAGACTGTCTTTATGCCATTGAATATTCTTTCCTGCTTTGTCCAAGATTAGTTGGCCACACATTTGTGGGTCCATTTCTGGGTTCTCTGTTCGGTTCCATTGATCTGAGGTCTGATTTTGTTGGGCCTTTATTTTAAATTGCACTGCACATTTTAAAACTGTTCATTCATTCACCCTTCAAGACTTGAGCACCCAGAAAAGAAAAATGTCAGGTGCTGAACTGGCACTGGAAAGTGGAGGTGGCGGAGTCTGGGGCACTCCTAGGAAGGAGCTCACAGACACATAAACTAGGGGAGTAAGAACAACAATAAGGAAAAGAGCAGAGTCTTTAGTAGCTCAGAGGAGGAGCCCCTAACCTGGCTGGGAGTAGGGAACCTTCCTAGAGAGCGTCCTGCTAGCTGAGGCTTCAAGGGTAGGCGGAATTTGTCCAGGATTGGGTGGGCCTACAGGGGACCCTGGAGGGAGAGACTGTCCTGGGCCCAGAGGGCAGAGGCTGGAGAAGACCTGGGGTCCTGGGAGTTGACCGAGATAGGTGTGGCGTGGGTGTAATAATATGGAGAGGGCTGGGCAGGAGCTGAGGGGTGGGTGACACAAGATTACACTGGTTGTGTGAGGAGTGGGGTGGGGGTCAGGGCAGGGGTCGAGGAATGCCTTGTGCATATTTGTGTGCTTCACACTCATCTTCCCATCTGCAGTGTGCCTGGTAGGCGGAAAGGGTTGAATGGGCAGGGAGACAGGTTAGGAGGCTCTACAGGCAGGCAAACTCAGGTTGTGTTTATTTTATTTATTTATTTTTTTAAATAGTTTATTGTCAAGTTGGTTTCCATGTAACACCAAGTGCTCATCCCCACATCAGGTTGTGTTTAGATCAACTCCACAGGACTTGGAGTGAGTCAGGGGCAAAGACTCAAAGATGACGCCCGGGGTTTGGCTTTACTAACTGTGGGCCCAGACATAGGGCCATTGCCATAGTGGGGTGCACTCTGGGAGCAAGGAGCAGGTGTGTGTGGAGGAGGGTGATGGATTCATTTGGGCATGTTGAATCTGAGGTGCCTGAGAGACACCCACTCAACCAGAGACTCCATGAGGGCAGCCCCTAGGGCCAGTCTGATCTCACCTTCACTCCCAGAACAGGCCCTGTGATAGAGTAGTGAACAAACAAATAAATAAATGAAATCCAGGAGAGCGAACTGGCCTGGATATTGGAGCATGAGGTCAGTGTACTTGTGTGGAGTGAGAGAAGAAAAGGTCTCGGATGTGTATGCGACAGAAAATGCACAGGTCTGGGTGAAGGTGAGGATAGAACCCAATGAAGTGGGCAGGGGCTGCATTCTACTTGTGCAGAAACCATTCTCTGGTGTTGCCTCTTGCCTTGATCTCAGAGCTCAACTTATCCAAAGGCACTGGGGAGCCATTGAAGGAGTTAGGCAGAGGAATGACCAGATCAGAGGTAGGTTTTAGACCACTGTGATCTCAGTAAAGGGGACGACAGTCAGGGTTTGTGTGTGGAGAGTGCGCCTAGAGGCAAAGCCCAGACTCCAGGAAATCAGCCTCACTAGAGCCACCCACACTCCATTACCACCAGGCCTTCTCCCCAGGCTGGCAACCCGGACATCTGGGTTCAGCTCCTGGCCTGGTATTTCTTGGCTGAGTGGTCTTGAGAAAGCCTCTTTCCCTCTCCTTCTCTAGTGTAATAAGAATAAATAGTTAACTGCACACAGTTGCAGGGCACCTTTCCTTTTACCGCCATTGGGTTGTCATAATTCTGGGGAGGAGGTCAGGAGAGGAGTGGGGGGAGGAGAGGTGCCTGGCCCAGGCTGCCCTGTGGGTGGGCCTTGTCCGACGGCTCCTCCGACCCCCCAGGCTGGGCGCCCCTCTGGGTGCCTTCCATGCCAGCCTCCTGCACTGTCTGCTGCCGCAGCTGAGCAGCCCACGCCTGGCCGTGCGCAAGCGGGCAGTCGGGGCCCTCGGCCACCTGGCGGCCGCCTGCAGCACCGACCTCTTCGTGGAGCTCGCCGACCACCTGCTGGATCGGCTGCCCGGCCCGAAGGCGCCCGCCAGCCCCGCCGCCATCCGCACTCTGATCCAGTGTTTGGGTAGCGTCGGCCGGCAGGCAGGCCACCGGCTCGGTAAGGGGGTGGAGCCCGGCTGTAAGGGGAGGGGGCGGGGCCGGGGCGGGCTGCTGCCTAGGTAAGGAGGCGTGGCTAGGCGGGGTGGGTACTGGGGGGAGGGGTGGGGCCCGTGTCAGCCACCTCCTAGGTAAGGGAGCCCGGTGGACATCTCGAAGGGGGATGGCGGAGCTTGAGAGGCAGTGGGTGGGCCCTGAGCTCGAAATGCTTCTGAGCCTTACCCACCTGTTCTGAGTCTGGCGGGTAATTATAAATCATGCCATCAAACTTAAATACAGTATGTTCTATCGCCCTGCGTTGACAGATGTACTGTAGTAACAACCCATAAGCTAGGTTGGGATTTTTAGAATTTTTTACTGGGGGATAATGGACGAACAGTAAACTGCACTACCTAAAGTGTACAGTTAGGTGAAATTACTGCCGCAGTAAAGATGGAGAACATTTCCATTACCCCCACCCCTAAAATTTCTTTGTACCCTTTTGCAGTTTTACCCTACCTCTGCCCTGCTCCTGGCAAGCATTGATCTGCTTTCTTTCACCAGAGATTAGCTTTATAGAAATGGAATCCTGCAGTCGGGGTTGAATTTATTTTCAAGCACCTCAGAGTTCTGGGCTAGAACAAGGCAGTGTGGGTAGGGTTGGCCACGGTCTAGCCCGCCTTCCCCTCTGACTCCCTCACCGCAGGGGACTTTATGAACACACACGGGGAACCGAGACCAAAGTCCATGCTCTGTCCACTTCTCTCAAACAACAGCCACCCGTTGGTCACTTTCGGGAGTAGGAACCCAAGAAGGAGGCCTGCACAGGGTCAGACTAGGGTTCATGGTCAGTTGAGCAGGAAAATGGGAAGAGTGTGACTGGAGAAGGATTGGACAGAACCCTTTAAAGAGATGGGCACCTCTTGCCTGGTGCATTAGGGCAATGCCTGCATTTCTTTCCCACCCAGGGCTACAACCTAGTGCAGGAAAATAGAAGGATGTGAATAATCGTTTCAGCAACAGATGCTACTACTAGCTTCAATACAGAGTCCTCCCCTGGGCCAAGACTTAGGCGGAGCTCTTTATCTGCATCATGTCATTAATCTTCACAAAATCTCTGCCTGGTAGGCATCACTGTCCCTACTGGGAAGATGAGTAGACGAAGGTCAGAGAAGTGCAGTGCTGTGTCCAAGGTCACATAGCTCACAGGTGGCAGAGACATGGTTAGAACCCACATCTGCTCAACTCTGAAGCTGCTGAGTTGAGTTTGCAGTGGCCAGGGCTGCAGGTGCAGGGACGAGCTGAGGGCTGTGGGCTGAGGGAGCCGGAGGATGGGTCTGGCCTGCCCTCAGTGACGCACCTGGCCCTCTAGGGGCCCACCTGGACCGCCTGGTGCCCCTGGTGGAGGAATTCTGCAACCTGGATGACGATGAGCTCCGGGAGTCCTGCTTCCAGGCCTTCGAGGCCTTCCTGAGGAAGTAGGTGCATGTGGGTGCAGGAGATGGGGTGCCCACGGTTTCTTTGGGAAGTTGGTGGGGAAGGGGTGGTGCAGGATGCTGGCCTCAAAGCGATAAGATCTCAGGACTCACCACTGGGCCCACCCCCTACTCTGTCCTGCCTGTCCAGCAGAGCCTCCCCACTCCCACCCCAACAGGTGCCCCAAGGAGATGGGTCCTCATGTGCCCAATGTGACCAGCCTCTGCCTCCAGTACATGAAGCATGACCCCAACTATAACTACGACAGTGACGAGGACGAAGAGCAGATGGAGACAGAAGATAATGAATTCAGTGAGCAAGGTGGGTGGCCGACTTGTCACTGGGGCTAGAAGGTGGATACAGGTGCAGCTTTCCTGGGACATCCCCTCTCCCCCCCAGCCAAAGACAAGGCCACATCTGGCACCCCCACCCTGATCTTAACCCTTCCTCAGTCTCTAGCCCTGACTTCCATAATCTGATTCCCCAAGGCTCCTACGCTCTGCACAGATCAAGGTAATGATAGTAGTAATTGCTGTCATTTATTGAGCATCTACTGGTGTGCTGAGTATTCGTATTAGCACTTCATAGTCATCCAATAACTGTAGAAACTAGGTGTTTATTATTATCCCCATTTCTCAGACAAGGAAACCCAGACTTAGAGAAGAGATTCGCCAAGATAACACAGCTAGGAAGTGGCAAAACTGGGGCTTGGAGCCCCCACCTTTGCTGCCATATTTGTACCTGTGTAGTAACAGTTTCCAAGAGATGAGGCTTTCACCCAGCAGAGTGAAGCTCTAATAGTGGAATGGTAGCTACTGGCAGGGGAGAGAGAGCTACCTGGATGGGGAATGGATGCAGTGGCTTTTTGTGCCCATGGTCCTACCTGTCGCTCAGTCTGATGGCCCTGGGCCTGTTGGGCTCTGATGGAGGCAAAGGACGTTGGGCCTGATGGGGTGCTAGGAATGAGATGAGGTGGTAGGAGACGAGATTGGACAGGCGTGTTGAGGCCTTGAATGCCAAGCCAGGGAGATTGAGCATTTTCTTGTCAGTAGCAGGGAGCTATGGATTTTTCTTCCTGGGTGGCATAAGATGGAGGTGACAACGATCCATCCGAGGACATCTGCACTGCTGACAGGACACATCCATGGGACCATCCACATGGCCCACTACAGCTTCTCCAGATGTCAGTGCTCTGAAAGTCTGACTCGTCTGCAGAGTGGCATGGATAGAAAGAACACACTGGATCTTGCCTGTTATACACTAAGTGTCCCTAGTTAGGACTGCCCCCTTCTTAGCCTCATGTGTGTCTATCCAGGTAGATGGGTGGGCCTGAATCTCAGCTCTGTTGTTTCCTAGCTGTGTGTCTTCAGGAGAGTCTCTCACCCTCTCTGAGACTTATTCTTGTCATCTATAAAATGGAGGCGCAGGTCACCCTCATTCTGAGGTGTGGTGAAGTACTTGAAGAGCTTTGTACTTGGAGAGTAGAAAGCCCCGCGAACACAGCCTTTCCTTGTTAGCAGGCCTGCTTGGAAGCCAGAATCAGGACTTGGGAGGCTGGGGCTGGAGGTGGAGGGAGCGAGGAGGCCCTGTCAACTGTCCCTTCTGGAATCCCAATAAGTGAAACATCACACAGCCAGTTCTGAAACCAAAGGATGGGTTTTGTGCCCCAAATGGATTGTTTCAAACCCTCTCTGACAGCTTGGAAGTTAGTTTTGTCCCTGACGTAGCAAAACAGTGGCCAGTCTGGAGGCAAAGGGAGGACCGGGTTTAACTCCAGCTGTATCCCTGCTCACGTAACTTGGGTGTGCCGTACCCCCACCCCCACCCCCGTTTCCACATCTCTGTAGGGGCAGGGGGGTGGATAATCCTTGTCTCACAAGGTGGTTGTGAGGCTCAGATGAGGTCGTGGATCTGAAGTGTTTGCAATGCAGTAGGTGTTCATTAAATGGCAGGTAACATTCCTAATAGTGTGTAAATCAAAACCGTAAGAGGAAACAGTCCTGACTCCGTCCTCCCTGCCCCCTCTCTTGTCACTTCCCCATCCCGTGAGACAGCCTGAGTGGGGCCAGGCTCGGTGCTCAGGGTTCCGTTGGTGTCCTGTTCATACCCCAGAGAGTGAGGACGAGTACAGTGACGACGATGACATGAGCTGGAAGGTGCGCCGGGCGGCGGCCAAGTGCATGGCGGCCTTGATCGGCTCCCGGCCCGACCTGCTGCCTGACTTCCACCACACCCTGGCGCCTGCCCTCATCCACCGCTTCAAGGAACGTGAGGAGAATGTCAAGGCTGACGTATTCGGGGCTTACGTTGTGCTGCTGCGGCAGACGCGGCCCCCGAGGGGGTGGCTGGAGGCCATGGAGGAGCCCACCCAAACAGGCAGCAGCCTCCAGATGCTGCGTGGCCAGGTGAGCATGCCTCCTCCCATCTCCCACCCTTGCTCAGGCACTCACGACTCCCCCTCCCACCTGCTCACCCTTCCATCCTTCCTCCACTGGCTGCACTGTCTGTCCGCCCCCCAGATGTGCGTGCTGAGCAGCCACTGTGTGTCTGGCCCTGTGTTAGGTGCTGAGTATAGCGGGGAGCGTGGCCCGGCCCCTGGACCACACAGGGCGGGGGCAGATAGACAACACAAGTGGGGCTTCCAGCCCCCTGAGAAGGAGTTTCAGTTTTACTCTAAGAGCCTAGAAGCCACAGGAGGGGAATTACAAAACCCCATTCCCATATGAAGGAGCTCACTCCGGCTGCCGTGTGGGAAATGGATTGTAACAGGGAGGGGAAGAGTATATGTTGGAGACCAACAGAGGCCAACAGCCATTGCAGCTTCCACGTGAAAGGGGTGGCGCTTTGGGCTGGGGGTAGGGGAAGAGGAGTGGTCAGACTGGAGGGTAGTATTCAGGTCTCAATGTAGGATTGGATATGGAGGGTGAGGGACAGGAAGGGGTCTATGTGAGTTCAGGTTCTCTCTAAAACATGGGCTGCAGTTCCTTGACATGGCGGAGAAGGGAATATCTAGAGTTCTGTTCCGGACACTTATGTTCTAGGTCCTCGGATGCCCACGTTGAGGTCAGACAGGTGGTCAGCACGCAGGGTCTCGCGTTGGAGATCTGGGAGTCTTTGCTTCACTGGAATCTGAAGCATGGGGACCAGATGGGCTCATCTGGGGAGAGAATCTCACCAGGGAAGGGAAAGGGGCCTCAGTGCTTCCCCGTCATGGAGTGTAGGAGTGAGGGCCAGTCGGCCAGGTGACTTTGAGCAAGTCACTTAATCTTTCTCTGCCTCTTGCCTCTCTGTAAAGAGAGCTCAGGAATAGTACCTCCTGCAGAGGGACTCTATGGAGTGAGTGATGGAATGGTCCTCCCACACTGGAGGTCCTTCATGGGCACGTGCTGGGCAAAGCCCCCAGTCGTGGGTGGGACGCCCTGGTTTCCTGGGTCACTGATCACCTTCACACTGCCCACAGGTGCCCCTTGTGATCAAGGCCCTGCAGCGGCAGCTCAAGGACCGGAGCGCCCGGGCCCGCCAGGGTTGCTTCAGCCTCCTCACCGAGCTGGCAGGCGTCCTCCCTGGCAGCCTGGCAGAGCACATGCCCGTGCTGGTAGCAGGTAGGACGGACCACACCCAGGTATCTCTTATCCTGGGCTCTTCTGGAACCCAGACCACAGGCTCAGTCCCCACAGGTCTCCCTGTTCAGCAGCCTCTTGTGGCTCCCCATGGTCAGCACTAAGAACAAAGCTGGGGCGCAGGCCCTGCTTCCTGATTTCAGAGGGGTTTCCTGGCCTTGTGTCCCTCAGCCCTGGCCAAGCCCTGATCTTTCAGGATCTGCGGCCTAAGAGCCCTGGGGTGGGGGCCAGCTCCCACACCTGCAGGTGCTCCACCCCCACACCCAGGGACCGCCTCGGCCTCCGTAACCTTTGCACCCTGCCCACAGGCATCGTCTTCTCTCTGGCCGACCGTTCCAGCTCCTCCACCATCCGGATGGACGCCCTGGCCTTCCTGCAGGGGCTGCTGGGCACAGAGCCGGCCGAGGCCTTCCACTCACACCTGCCCACTCTCCTGCCGCCTGTGATGGCCTGTGTGGCCGACCCTTTCTACAAGATCGCAGCGGAGGCCCTGCTAGTGCTCCAGGAGCTGGTGCGGGCCCTGTGGCCCATGGACAGGCCTCAGACGCTGGACCCCGAGCCGTATGTTGGAGAGATATCTGCGGCCACCCTAGCACGACTCCGCGCCACCGACCTGGACCAGGAGGTGAAGGAGCGTGCCATTGCCTGCATGGGCCACCTTGTGGCCTGCCTGGGTGACCGGCTTGGGGATGACCTACAGCCATCGCTCCTGCTCCTTCTGGACCGCCTGCGGAATGAGATCACCCGGCTGCCTGCCGTCAAGGCACTGACGCTGGTGGCCTCGTCCCCGTTGCGGCTTGACCTGCAGCCCATCGTGGCCGAGGCTCTGCCCATTCTGGCCTCGTTCCTGCGGAAGAGCCAGCGGGCGCTGCGGCTGGCCGCGCTGGCCGCCCTGGCTGCTCTGACCCAGAGCCAGGGACCCAGCCTCCCTCCACGCGCTGTGCAGGCCGTGCTGGCTGAGCTGCCTGCCCTGGTCAGTGAGAGCGACATGCACGTGGCTCAGCTGGCTGTGGACTTCCTGGCCTCGGTGACCCAGGCCCAGCCGGCCTCGCTGGCCCAGGTCAGCGGCCCCGTGCTCTCAGAGCTGCTGCGGTTGCTGCGCTCACCCCTGTTGCCGTCGAGTGTGCTGGCAGCTGCTGAAGGCTTCCTGCAAGCGCTGGTGGGGACGCGGCCCCCTTGCGTGGGCTATGAGGAGCTCATCAGCATGCTCACGGCGCCTGTGTACAGACAGGCCGCGGATGGCGGGCCAGGCCTGCACAAGCAGGTGTTCCACTCCCTCGCTCGGTGTGTGGCAGCCCTCGCGGCCGCCTGTCCCCAGGAGGCGGCGGGCACGGCCAACCGCCTGGTCTGCGATGCCAGGTCACCCCACTCGAGCACAGGGGTCAAGGTCCTGGCATTCCTGTCACTGGCTGAGGTGGGGCAGGTGGCCGGGCCAGGCCCCCAGCGGGAGCTGAAGGCAGTGCTCCTGGAAGCCTTGGGGTCATCCAGTGAGGATGTGAGGGCGGCTGCCTCCTATGCGCTGGGCCGCGTGGGCGCCGGGAACCTGCCCGACTTCTTGCCCTTCCTGCTGGGGCAGATCGAGGCTGAGCCCCGGCGGCAGTACCTGCTGCTGCACTCGCTCAGGGAGGCCCTGGGGGCCGCCCAGCCCGACAGCCTGAAGCCCTACGCCGAGGACATCTGGACCCTGCTGTTCCAGTGCTGTGAGGGCGCCGAGGAGGGCACCCGGGGGGTGGTGGCCGAGTGCATCGGCAAGCTGGTCCTCGTGAACCCTCCATTCTTTCTGCCCCGGTTCCAGAAGCAGCTTGCTGCAGGTAGGGGCACAGGTGGGGCAAAGGCCGTCTAGTTCGGAGGTGGGCAGTTTGCTCCAAGCAGCCCCCTCACAGTGAGCTAAGTCCAGTGATTAGATCTGAAGACTGTTGGTGTGGCAAAGGCAAGGGCAGAGGAACCATTAAAAATAGTGTTTCCTGAGATGCGCAGGCCCCTCCTGGGGGACTCTGGGATGGGGGAGACAGAATCCTCAATACGTCCCTACAAAAAATTAGCTTTCCACAAGGCTGCCTTCATACTCCTTGGTGTGGACAGCAGCCTCTTGCTCCCGGCGCAAGTCAATTAAAGTTCTCGGCCTACAGGGAGTGTAGCTCTCTTGGGTTTGTTTGAGCCAAGAGCAAATGTCAGTATAGACTAGGTAGGACCGGGGGCCATACTCCCAAGGTTTGGAGAGGCTCTGACAAAAACCAGGGACAGGTGTTGCATGGTCCGGTAAGGGCACGTCAGGGCTTTCCAGAGCTCAGGGAGGAAGAAAGCAGCCAGGCGGGGCTGTGGGGGTCCTGGGTAAGTGAAAACCCCTGAAGATGAAAGGTTTCCAGGCCTTGAGCTGCTCAGCGTCAGAGGGTATATTTATTCACATAACGCAGTTCTCGGTATAGCATATGGTGCGTAGTTAATACTAAGTAAATAAGTGCTGCTGTTGTTATGCCCATGATCACAGTCGAGCCCTCCCTGGGCTGCTGGGTTTAATAAGAAGCAGCTCGGTAGCTTGCGCCACTGCATGGACGGGGAAGAGCGGATTGAGGACATTGCCTGTTACGCTCTCAGGGCTCTACACAGGGAAGCTTGAGGGGCCAGAGTCCTGGGATAGGAGGAGCGGCCCCGCCACATCCAAGCTGTGATTCGCTCTGCCTCACGTGTCCTGTTGAACCGGCTAAGCGGTCACATTGCCTTTTTACCACCAGCTGCCTGAAAGCGTGGAGCCGGACTCCTGGCCTGCTTCCAGCAAGTTCGTGAGACTTCAGAGGTGGCCCTCCCTGCCCTCACTCCAGTCTTCCCCTCACTTCCCTGCCTGTGTGTTTCCTTGCCCTCATATTTCTCATTTCAAATTTACTTAATGCTGTTCTGTTGTCCGTGTCTTTACCAGCCACCCTGAATCAAGAGCCAGTCAGGATAGAGAAAGGGGAAAGAGCTGCAAGTCTGAAGTCAGTAACTCTTTCCCGTTTTCACACCCCGCTGCAGACTTTGTCCTGAGTCTCCAGTGTAAGGGCTACACGACAGGAACAACCTCAACCCGCAACCGTCCCTCTTGTGTGCTGGGGGAGGGGAGGAGCCGGCAGCTGCTGGGGTCTTTCTTTCACCATAATGGGAGGTGTTTTCCCTTCCCTTTTTCCAGCCTCTCTACTCAGAAAGCAAGCAGAAAAGTAAAGTAAAATTAAGTGGCTTCTCTGTTCCCAGGCTTTGGGGGTGTTCTGAGTTCTGCTGGAATCCCCTTGGCCTTCAGCTTGCCTGGAGCACACGTGCCGCCTACTTGGAGAATGCAGGCCTGAGGAGGAGGGCCCGGCCAGGGCTCAGAATCAGCCGTGGAATTCTGGATCTGCTGTGTGACCTTAGATGTGAACTTAACCTCTCTGGGTCTTTTTCCTCATCTGTAAAACCGAGATTAATAATAATTCTTATGAAACATTCTGATTTATATTACCATTTATTGCTAGTCAATAGGACCATCCTGAGGACAGCGTGTCTGAAAAGTAGAATGCAGCCCTAAGGCCCGAGCAAAGGTCTTTCTTTGGACTGTGGACCGACCACTGTCGTGGGTTCTTGGTTCCCTGTGTGCACCCTGCAGTGTGCTTACCTGAGAACTGGCAGTTTTCCCCTCAGCCGCCTCAGGAGAATGGAGGGATGAATTTTAGACTGTCAAGGGAGAGGCGTTGACTTTGCCAAAGATGGGTGTTTTGAATGGGGAGGGGTCCAGTTCTGTCTCCCAGGGAGGCAGAGAGCTTCCACTCCTTCCGAACTGTGTCTCAGTTTCTGCATCTGTAAAATCGGAGAAACCCTTACCTATAGGTTCTAAGGTTGATTCAGAGACCCCATCATTTGCAGAGTGTCCAGGATCAGCCCTGCCACTCACCAAGCTGATGCCTCTTGTCCTGCAGGTCGGCCACACACACGGAGCACGGTCATCACAGCGGTCAAGTTCCTCATCTCTGACCAGCCCCATCCCATCGACCCCCTCCTGAAGAGCTTCATCGGTGAGCAGCCCCAGCCCTCTGCCCCTGGCCCCGTTCAGTCCCCTCCTCCCAGCCTTTGAGTCCGGGCTGATTTTTCTTCCACCTTAGCCAAGGGGAGTCTGAGGCCCAGGAGGCTACCTCACCCCCATGATGGGCACAGGGCCTGGGTTCAAATCCCTGTGCTGCCACTGAATTGCTGGGTGAGCCTCGCATGCCCCTTCTCACCTATGAGCCTCAGTTTCCTCATCTGTAAAATGGGGGTGGGAAACTCTTATCTGCAGGTTCTAAGGTTGATTCAGAGACCCCATCGTTTACTGGGGGGAAGGTGCTCCATGTACACACAGGCTCTTAGAAGTGAGAAACCACCAGCCTCTCATGTGCATGGACTTTGGCAGGCATCAAGCCGGGTGGAGCTCTACCGGGATTGGGGAGAGTGGCTCCCAGCTCATGCCCTCTTAGGAGTCTTCTGGGCTGAGGAGCCCAAGCAGCCTTCTGAGCGAGCCCTCTCTTTGGGACTCTGTGGACTAGGTTCTTCCCAGAGAAGGCAGACATTCATAGCTCTGAGGCTGCAGGCTTGTAACTGGGTCACACGGGAGCCGGGCCCGTCTCCTACAGGCAGGACAGCCTGGTGGAATGTGGAGCGGTTCTGAAGTCGGCCGCTCCTGGGTTGGCAGCCTGGCTCGACTACCTTCTGGCTGTGTGAGCGTGGACAGGTTATCTGATCCCTTGCTCTAAAACGGGGGTGTTGGGGTGCCTGGGTGGATCAGCTGGTTGAGCGTCTGACTCAGGTCATGATCCCACAGGGGTGGGATCAAGCCCCATGTCGGGCTCCACGCTGAGTAGGGATTAAGTACTGCTTACGTCTCTGTCTCTCCCACTGCCCTTCCTCCTCCTCTCTAAAATAATATTTAAAAATTTTTTTTCTTTTTTTAAATTTTGTAATGTTTCATTTATTTCTAGGAGAGAGAGAGAGAGACAGCGTGAGCAGGGGAGGGTCAGAGAGAGAGAGAGTCACAGACTGAAACAGGCTCCAGGCTCTGAGCTGGCAGTCAGCACAGAGCCCGGCGCAGGGCACGAACCCACGAACCGCGAGATCATGACCTAAGCGAAAGTCGGACGCGTAACCGACTAAGCCACCCAGGCTCCCCAATAATATTAAAAAAATTTGAAATGGAGGTGCTGATCCACACTTGCCAGGGGACTGTGGTGTGAGACCTGGGGTCAGCAGGTGTGGCCACACTGTGAATAGGAGAATGTGTCCAGAAGCCGCAGCAGTATCAACAGCAACTTCACCCCATGCCCTGACCCAGAGGGCACACATTGCCCCAAGTTCTGAATTCCCTCATCTTGCCTGAGCCGCCCAGGCTGGCAGGCCCAGGGACCTCTGCCTCTGTGTTTGTTTCTTGTGTGTGTTTGAACCACAGTTTTTGAGCTCTCACTGTGTATCAGATACAAGGCCAGGCCCTTTGATATACCTCACCATAGTTCATTCTAACAGCCCTTTACTTGAGGGTCGTGTTTTACAGCTGAGGAAGCAGAGCCTCAGAGAGGACACTTGAACTCCAGTCTTGCCGCGTTCCCCACAGCTGTGTTCTCACAGAGGATGGGGAGTCTGGGAACCAGGAGGGCACAGTAGAAGGGCCTGGAGGTTGCCAGCTCTGGATTTGAATCCTGCTCTGCTAGGAGACTTTATGTTCTTCCCAGCGCATCACATTGGGAGCCACAGAATGACAGTTTGCCCCCCGACTGGTGATGGTAACTCAGATCACCTGTATAAGGTGGAGACTTCCAGGTTTCTCCACTCTAAAATTACTTTTTCCTTTGGAATGAATAAGTCTTTTTAAGTCTGTCAAAATATCCACTTCATCAAATTTCTGCCCGCTACATTTAGCATCCATTGTGGTTTCTTTCCTGATTCAGTGACTTCTGATAGTTGCCAAATGGTGACTTTCCATTCCAGCATTCCTTCTGTATTCGTTAGATTGCTTTCTGTTCTCTGGAAGAACTTTTCCTTCTCCCCCACTTATTTATTCATTGATTTATTCATATCCTTAGAGACTCACGGGTTCCTGTTTTATTCAGTGAATTATAACTAATTACTGTCTTCATTTATTTTGATTCTAAAGCTTGTCTTAGAGGTGGCCATTGTGAGTCCTTCAGGTGGGTTCGTATGTTCCGTTGATGTGCTTCCATCCCCCTTGAACATACCCTTACTTTCTGGCACAGTAAAATGTCCTACACTCACCTTGAACCTTTTCTGCCCCAGCTCTAGAATCAGTCCTTTGTTCAGGGAGCCCTGATTCTCTTTAGTGGAGAATGATACTTAGAATCCAAGATCTAGACACTAGGGTGCTCATCACTACTGGGGTGCCATTGCTTCAGGGCCCTCTTAGCAGACGCAGCTAGGAAGTATGTGTCTGTGTGACTGTATGTACACAGACACACAGATACATGTGTTACCTGCTTGTCCAGGCCAGCACTGCAGGGTTCCTTCTAGCCGTCTTCCATTCCATACCCTTCTCTTACAGGGAAAAGCCCGGTTCCTGCTATCTACCAGGTATTTATTCGCTTAATCCTGGAATACACAGAGAGTAGACTGAGAATTGCTAACTTTTATCTCTGCGAATAGTCAGTATTTGTTTTTAGGTCTTGTGTCTTTAGCCTGAGGGCAACTAGTCAAAATACTTTGGAAATTACTTGGGCGAGTTGTTTCATTCTTTTATAACCTGGTGGTTTATATTAATCATTTGAAATACTGTTAGGATCGCGGTTTTTGTTGGTAGTGTGTTTTGTTTTTTAAGGGATCCCCCTTATTCTTGATTTTATTTATAGAGCAAATGGAACATTAACACAATTATTTAAAAGTCTAAACTATACAAAAAGGTGTACTCAGAGAAGTGCTATGTGAAAGTGTAAGTTTCTTCATCTCTCTGATCTTCAAGAGCCTTATCTGTTATAATATCAAGTTAACATTTATAGAATCCTTGTTCTGTGCCAAGCCTTCTGTTAGATATTTTAGATAGATAAGATAGAAAGAAAGATAGAAAGATAGGTAGGTAGATAGATAGAGAGATAGATAGATATCACATCACTACATTTTAAGTCTTGAAAACAGTCCTACGCTATGGGTACTGCCATTACCCCCATTTTGATTTTTTAAAAATGTTTTATTTATTTTTGAGAGAGGGGGAGAGAGAGACAGAGTATGAGCCAGGGAGGGGCAGAGAGAGGGGGAAACAGAATTCACAAAGCAGGCTCCAGGCTCTTAGCTAGCTGTCAGCACAGAGCCCGACACGGGTCTTGAACCCACCAACCGTGAGATCATGACCTGAGCTGAAGTTGGACACTTAACCGACTCAGCCACCCAGGTGCTCGTGTTACCCCCATTTTATAGAGAAGGACCTTTAGGCTATCCAAGGTCCCCTAGTTAGGAAATGGTGGAACCTGGATTTGAACCGCAGCCAGACTCTAGTTCACATTCTTATCTGGGCTTTGAGGGCTCGTCATCGTGGTAAGAAAGAAAGTAGATGCTCAGAACATGTTTGCCCCCGTTCGGCCAGGCCTCCCCAGCAGCTGAGGTTGGGGCGCAGGTGGCTTGTGTCTCTGCTGAGTGTTCTTTATACGCCCTCTCGTGTTTCCGTCAGGAGAGTTCATGGAGAGCCTACAGGATCCAGACCTGAATGTGCGCCGGGCCACCCTGGCTTTCTTCAACTCAGCTGTGCACAACAAGCCCTCACTGGTCCGGGACCTGCTGGGTGACATTCTGCCCCTCCTCTACCAGGAGACAAAGGTCCGCAGGGACCTCATCCGAGAGGTAAGGCCGGTGAAGGACAGTGAGGACCTGCCTGGCAGAGCTGTGGCCGGGATTCAGGTCAGGCTTTTCAGAGCAGGCACGTGGGCCGTGTGGCCTGGGTCAGATGCTGCTCCCCACTTCCAGGTTGTGTGACCCTAGGCACACTGACCTAGGGCAGTTTAATCTGCCCTGAGCCTCACTTTCTCTTTTGGGGCAAAATGAGGAAAATAACTCGTGTCTGTATCTTAGGGTTGTTGAGAAGATTCAATAAGTTGTATCCTGCAGCTTCTCTGGGCTGCTCCTGCACACAGTTGGCACTCAGCAGTGTTGGCGGCTCTTGTTATCAGTCAGCATTCAGCAGGTGGTCGTTGAGCGCCAGCACTGTGGCGAGTGCCAGGATCAGAGCTGGGCCAGACCTGGTTTCTGCCACTAGCGAGCTCATGGCCACCCAAGGCTAGAGATACCCATTCTGCCGATTGTTTTACTGGGGTAGAGCCTACTTAATGTAACAAGAATTTAAGGGGCAGAGAGTAAAAGTGGCTTAACAGCTATCATCACGTAATAGGATACAAATGTCTGGGGTCACCCGGGTGCTCAGTCGGGGAAGCGTCCAACTTCAGCTCAGGTCGTGATCACGGTTCGTGGGTTTGAGCCCCGCATCTGCTCTGGTGCTGTCAGTGCAGACCCACTTTGGAGCCTCTGTCCCCGTTGCTCTCTGTCCTTCCCCTGCCCATGCTTTCTCTCTCTCAAAAAAAAAAAAAGGTCTAAACCATCTGACATTGCTGAAGAGGAAGTAACTATGTTTAGAGGGGTTAGGAAAGGTTCCCAGAAGAGTGGCCATGTAAGCTGGGCCTTGAGGGGTGAGACGGAGCTTACCATTAAGAACAGAGCCTGGTGGTTAAAAGCTTCAGAGACCTGGGTTTTTAATTCTAGTTCAGCCACGTACTAGCTGTGTGTTCTTGGGCAAATTAATTAACCTCTCTGAGCCTTAGTTTCCTCATATGTGAAGTGGGGTTCATCGTAACATCGTCTTCCTAGGGCTGTTGTGATGCTTGGGTGACCTGTCATTTGTCAAGCACGCAGCACAGTGGCCGGCCCATCATAACTGCTCAGTAGACTGGAATGATTATTGTTTCTGTTATTATGAAAGGGCATGCAGGCTGAGGAAGGGCAAGAGACTTGAGAGTAGGAGGCCTGATTCGGGGACAGAACACAGAAGTGAACAGGCCGGCTGCGCAGCAGGAGCTAAGGGAGGTGTCCTTACCCCCTGGAGTCCCATCCCATGACCCTTGTCACCCTTCCCTCCTGCAGGTGGAAATGGGGCCCTTTAAGCACACAGTGGACGACGGGCTGGACGTGCGGAAGGCGGCCTTTGAGTGCATGTACTCGCTCCTTGAGAGCTGCCTGGGCCAGCTGGACATCTGCGAGTTCCTGAACCACGTGGAGGATGGCCTGAAGGACCACTACGATATCCGGGTAGGGTGGGCCCCCCGCCACACCCACGCCCACCCCGTACCAAGGGGATGGTGGCACACGGGGACCCACTGCTTGGGTGTCCCCCACTCTCCACCCCGGCACCCCTGTGAAAATAACTGCATTGTTTTGTTTTTTTTTTCAATAAGAAAGTCAACCTCTCAAACACCTTTGGGGAGAGTCTACACCGGGCAAGCGCTTTGGAGTACGATTTCGCAGTAGCTAGAAGAATTTAGAATTCTCAGACATACCTTTGACCTAGCAGTTCCATCTGTGTGAACAGAGCCTCTGGACTGACTCCTAAAAACATGTTTGGAGTTTTACATTCTAGATTGTTCTGAGAGTTGGGGAAGGCTGGCAGCTTCCCAAATGTCCACATATCAGAAGCTCACTCGATAAACTGGGTACTTCTGGTCTTGGAATGCTAGCAGCATGAAGAAGAGTGAGCCAGGTCCCTCTGCACTGATGTGAGAGATGGCCAAGACCCGCTGTCGATTGATAAAGGCCAGGTTTTACAGGCATTTCCTCCATGCTTTCCCGTTTGCACCCATTGTGGCCACATGGCCCTCTTACCTGCCTCCAGGGAGCACAGGACAGGGCCTGGGCATCCGTGTACCATTTGGACCCCTATGTCCAGGCCCCTTTTGGTGTTGAGGAGGGTGGGAATGACATCTGTTGAGCCCCTAGAGTTATCTTGCTGAGTCTGCACCCCAGCCCTGGAGAGTGGGTCTATGATGGCCACTTCACAGGGGAGAGGACAGAGAACTGGCTAGTTCCAGGGCACCAGCTGGGAAGTGGAGGAGGTCTGGGGCCCAGCTTGTGCTGTGGAATGCCGTGCTGGTTGCTGGCCCCCTCCTTTGCTGTGGGTTATTGGGGGGATCAGGGCAGAGCGGATGGCTGTGGGGGGACGGGTAGGGTATGTAGAATTCAGACAACTATCCGTTATGCTGCATGTCATTTGTAGGAACCTCACCATTTTCAAAAAAGGTCACCATTATTCTCCTGCAGGCTGCATCTGGGTTTGTAGGTGTGTTGGCTCACGTGGCAGTTTTTTGAAAATGGGTGCCAGTATTTAAAAGTTGAGAGATTTTACATAAAAATCAGCTTCTTTCAAAAATAGTGCGTGAGCCCTGGGCCACATTCCCACAGCCCCAATGGGCTGGAGCTGAGAGCTGCTCTCTGGAGTGTGAACTCCTCACTCCTTCCCAGTTGCCGTCTGGCCCTCTTCACTCGTGGACAGTATCTGCATGGCCCTGTGAGCATCTGAGCTTGAGAATCGCCCCCTCTCTGGTGCTCCTTCTTATCTGAGCCTCCTCAGGTCAGCCAAGTGTAGTTGGCATAGTAGGTATTGCCATTCATATTGTTTTTAGTATTTATTTATTTTTGAGAGAGAGAAGCAGACAGCGTGAGCAGGGGAAGGGCAGAGAGAAGGGAGACAGAATTGACAGGCTCCAGGCTTGAGCTGTCAGCACAGAGCCTGATGTGGGGCTTGAACTCACAAACCACAAGCCAAAGTTGGATTCTCAATGGACTGAGCCACCCAGGTGCCTCCTGTCATTCACATTTATAGATGAGAAAACGGAGGCCCAGAGGGGAAGTGACTCGCAGGGCCCTGGTGGGAATGAGTGCTAGGGTTTGGACCTGAGCTCTCGGTGTCGGTATCAGAGCCTCTGATCTTCCCTGGGCTCTGATCCTTTTGGTCATTTCACTGTGAACTTTGTCTCCTTCCTCTGGGGCAGATGCTGACCTTCATCATGCTTGCACGACTGGCTACCCTGTGTCCCGCACCCGTTCTACAGAGGGTGGATCGGCTCATTGAGCCACTCAGGGCCACCTGCACCGCCAAGGTAAGCGCGCTGCCCAGCCCTGGGCACACCTACAAATTATTCAGTTCCATTTACAGGTGGCGTATAAAGTGCTTCATTTTGTTGTTGTTGTCACCCTGTAAAGTACTTCTTATTGTCCCCACTGTACACACAGGGAAAGAGACTCAGAGAGGTGCAGGGATTGATTTAGCCTCCTCAGAATGAGATTCAAACCCACCTCTTTTGTTCATTCAACATTTCCTGGGTGCCGGCGGCCCTTGTTGCCAGGCACCAGCATCCCGCGTGGAACGTGGTGCGTTCCTACTCCCACATCCTCCTGGGAACACCGAGTCATTCTCTTGGACACATGGAAACCATTGATCGGTTGATTGATTCAGGGCAGAGTTGCTGCTCGGCTGGAGTGCCTCAAAGGTTCCAGGGGAGGGATCGAGCGGAAGGCCTGGGGGGAAGCCGCAACGTTGGGTACAGAGCCTGGTGCCCGGTAACTACCTGTTGACCGAAAGAACTAATCTGGGTTTTGAAAGTGTAGGAATTAACCAAACAAGGGCAGAGTATTTCAGATTGGAACTGAAAGAGGAGAGAGATCCATAGAACAGTGATTTGCAAGTTGTGAGAGAGCAAAACCTTTTCCAAAAAAATGAAATCTTCGGTGGCTAAAACCGATAAAATTGGCAGTTTCTTAATAGAAACCTGCCCTTGAAGGTTCAGTCTGTAACAGGTGCATGGTATGAAGTCAAAGAAAACAGTGGTTCTGCAGGGCCATTGCAGTGACAGTTTCAAAGGCCAAGTCACTTTAGTTTCCTTGGAGCTTTACAGCGCGGAGAAAAATCCCAGTTGACAGGGTAGAGCTGCAAATGGTGTTGCAGCATCAGGACACCCTTCCACTCGGCCAGGAGGCAAATGATCTGAGGTCCCCGCAAAGGCTGCTCAGCCTGGCTGCCCGGCGGACACAATGTGTCGGGCACTGTGATGAGAACTTGCTGAATCCAAGTCCACCATCCCTCATCCACCGAAACCTACAAAGTTCTGGAAACCAAAAGCTTTATTTTTTTAATGTTTATTTTTGAGAGACAGAGTGCAAGTGGGGGAGGGGCATAGAGAGAGGGAGACAGAATCCGAAGCAGGCTCCAAGCTCAGCACAGACACTTGGGGCTTGAACTCACTAAGGTGAGATCATGATCTGAGCTGAATGAAGTCATAGGCTTAAGGGACTGAGCCACCACCCAGGTGCTCCCATCGAATTAACTTAGTAATGAAAAGAAAAGCGAGCAGTTTAGATTGGCTGGTCAGAGGTCCCCTAGGTGGCTTTGAAGTTGATTTGAATGACAAAGGACCACCCTCAGGAGAAACCAACCAGTGTAAAAAAAAGTGCAGGAGAAATCTTGGGAGGCTGGAACCACAGGAGACGGAAGTAGGGGAGTCTGCTGTGATTTACGGCTGGTAAAGCTTACATACAGGTGGTTGAGAGGAATCCAGAGACCAGTGACAGAGGCTGTGACGCCAGGCCAGGCTCAATAAAGGATGGCTCGTTTCTTCCCACTTTAGGTCAAAGCTGGTTCCGTGAAGCAGGAATTTGAGAAGCAAGATGAGCTGAAACGCTCCGCCATGAGGGCCGTGGCCGCCCTGCTGACCATCCCGGAAGTAGGGAAATGTCCCATCATGGCTGACTTCTCTTCCCAAATCCGATCCAACCCCGAACTTGCTGCCCTCTTTGAAAGCATCCAGAAGGATCCTGCTTCAGCCCCCAGCACAGACTCGATGGAGCTCAGCTAGTGCTTCCCCAGCCCCCAGGTGGGCCCTTACTCAAGAGAAGGGGGCCTACCCAAGCCTGAGGCCTCACCGTCCCCCTGCTGGCCACAGGCCTCTGCTTTTGCCCTTTCTTCATCTCACTAGTGGGCCCTCCTGCTCCTGGTCGGGGCTTACAGTGCCTTCTCCAGGGACCCCAACTCGAGGCCCCCAGCAGGAGCTGCAAGGCTGCCAACAGTTGGGCCCTGTAACTCAGGACAGTCATTCAAAGCAACAGGGCACGGACGTTTTCCAAGCCCTTTGGCACAAATATGGATGTGTGACTTCACACTGGGCAGTCTATACCTTCAAACTGTGAGTCCCTGCCTCACAGAGGACTAAGTGGTGTTTAGAAACACTCTTGTGCTCACAGCTGTGAAAGGTTAGGAGGCAGCCGGCTGGCCTTCCTTCCCACCAGTGTCTCGGACTTGTCACTCACACCTCTCCCGTGTTTCACTTCACTTGATCTGATAGGCCAAAAATTAGTGCTTTGGCTGGGCATCTGAAAAATGCAAGCAACTTCTCTGAGCTTCTTGCCCTTTTAGAATTCAAGCCAATTTAGAATTTAGAATTCAAGCAAAACGCTTCCTTTTCTAATTGGTAGTGATGATTCAGAAATGTGAATTTTTGCAGTGGGAGGAAGTTGGGATAGAGAATTAGATCTAATGTGTGTTTTCTAATTTCAAAACGCTTATGTAGTCGATTGGGAAACCAGAAAGCACAAAGGAAACTAGACCGCCTCTCACGCCACCCCACATATAGGTATAACCAGTTGGTCTGTGTCCAGAGAAAAATTTAACATGTTCCTAGTTTTTAGATTGAAGAAATATTAAGTGACAAGCCAAAGAACTTTCTGTGCTGTTACAGATTGATTTGAGACCCTTGTTACTTTTTCTCTGCACAATTCCTCTACTAGGTGTGCCACCATCAGTTTATTTCCTATCAGCTTAAAGAAATCCTGAAAATGACCAACATTTACTCAAATGTTTCAGACTAGGTTTTGAACTGGAGGCAGTCCACCTGTAAGACATTTTTTCTAAGGGACTTAAACCAACTCATGGCTAGTGTGCCAAGAAAATTACAACCAGGGTAGTTCTTTCTGCTCAGTTGATCAGGTTGGTAGGGAAAAAACACCCTACACACATTTGTCTTGTTCTGGAGTCTACATCCCACATCCCAGGACTATGTACTGCCACTTGCTACCAGTTCTTGGGAAAGTGGTACCCTGACTTTACACAGGTACGCCTCACTTTATCGTGCTTTACAGAAGCAGCATTTACAAACTGAAGGTTTGTGGGAATCCTGCGTTGAGCCATGTCTATCCACACCATATGCTCATTTCATGTCGGTCATATTTTTCTCAGTTCACTTTGTTATTGTTTTGTTAGTGATCTGTAATCTTTGATGTTATGATTAGTGCCTGAAAACGTGACAGAATTGCTGTAATCTCATGAGAAAACTTTATCGGTGGAGCTGAGATGGTGAAGGTGCTGTTAAAAGATTGTTGAAATGGCAAAAAAGAACTGAAAACTACTACATCTACTCAGTTGATAAAGCAGTGGCAGGGTTTGAGGGGATGGACTCATTTTGAAAGCTCTCTGGGTAAAGTGCTGATATTGCATGCTACAGAGAAATCATTCTGAACTCAGCAACAGACTTCATGGTCTTAATTTTAGTAACTTGCCACAGCCACCCAGTCTTCAGCAACCACCACCCTCATCAGTCAGGAGCCATCGACATCGAGGTAAGACACTCCACCAACAAAGATTACAACTCACAGGAAGCTCAGATGGTTAGTCTTTGCAATAGTTATTTTTATATTAAGATATGTACATTATTTAGACATGCTATTACACATAATAAATTTCAGTATGGTATAGTTAACTTTTATATGAACTGGGAAACCAGAAAATGCGTCGGACGTCGGACTTGCTTTATCTGACTTGTGGTCTCCAGAGGTATGCCTGGTCTACCTTGGTCTGAAGATCACGTCTCCCCCACCCCCAAATGGAGTTGACAAGGCTGATCTGGGCACCAGAGGCCTGTGCCCTATGAAGAACAAAATACCTTTATAAACCTCTTCCAGATGGAAGATTCCAGAGTATTAACCAGAAAAAAATAAAAATCCATGACAACTTGTCAGAGTAAGAAATTGAAGAGTAAAACCAAGGAGGGAAATGCCAGATGGTAGTTTTATGGTTTTATTAACACAAATATGTGCACATAAACTGTCTATTCATTTTCTTCGCTGCGCAGCCTGGCATTGGGATTCGTGACTCTGATGGCCAGCTGGGCTGCTCTTTCCACAATGGCTTTACGGTTCTTGGAGGAGACATTGTGAGCAATCTCTGCACAGTAAGATCTGGAAAAGAAGCAGTTCATGAGCAAAGTTAAGGGGGCGCTGGTAATGGCTCATGAACAAGGCCCACACAGCCCCCAAATCCCAACTCTCCTAAAACCCATGGTCCCAGCAGTAAGGCTCTTAAAGTATTCCCAGGAAGTGACAAAAGCACTCACCATGTTCCCTCACTGAATCCTTACAGCAGCCTTATGATCCATGGATTGCCTCTACCTTACAGACAAACCATGGTCCTTAAAGTGGAAATGAATTTCCAAGCCACATATTTAGAAAGGGAGAGGGCTGGGGCGCCTGGGTGGCTCAGTCGGTTAAGCATCCGACTTCGGTTCAGGTGATGATCTCGCGGTCGGTGGGTTCAAGCCCCACATCGGGCTCTGTGCTGACAGCTAGCTCAGAGCCTGGAGCCTGCTTCAGAGTCTGTATCTCCCTCTCTCTCTGACCCTCCCCTGCTCAAGCTGTCTTTCTCAGAAAATAAATAAAATATTTAAAAAATAAATTAAAAAAAAAAAAGAAACGAAAAGGAGAGGGCTACGATGACTCAGTCCCAGACTCCCAAGTTCAAAGGTCCTCCCCTATCCTTCCAGCCCCATCAAGTTTTTAAACTCTGCCAAGTAACCAAAAGCAAAATCCAACAGTCTGATTAAACCAGGAGCTTCCTGGCATTTTACTTGTTTGCTGCTGACCAAACTCAAATCCAGAAGTAAGGCCACCTGAGGTTGCCCAGCAAGTAGCTACACTTCACTTTCCTGAGTACCTGGGTGCCAGGTCCTGTCCAACTGACTCACTGCCCACAGCTGCACCATGCCCCAGTTGGTAACAAACTGGCCTAAGAGGCACATTTCAGCAGGAAACAAATTTATGATGCCATCAACAGCAGGTTAAGAAAACATACTGGAGGGGCGCCTGGGTGGCTCAGTCGGTTAAGCGTCCGACTTCAGCTCAGGTCATGATCTCACGGTTCCTGGGTTCCACCCCGCGTCAGGCTTGGTGCTGACAGCTAGCTCAGAGCCTGGAGCCTGCTTTGGATTTTGTTTCTCCCTCTCTCTAACCCTCCACTGCTCACACTGCCTCTCTCAGAAATAAAAACATCAAAAAATTTTAAAAAAGAAAACATACTGTAGGGGCACCTGGTTGGGTTAGTAGGTGGAGCAACTGATCTTGGATCTTGGGGTTCTGAGTCTGAGCCCCACACTGGGTAGAGACTGCTTAAAAATGAAATCTTAAGGAGCAGCTAGGTGGCTCAGTCACTTAAACATCTGAGTACTGATTTTGGCTCAGGTCATAATCTCATGGTGTGGCAGTTTGAGCCCCTTAGTCAGCTGGAGCCTGCTGGAACTCTCCCTCACCCCCAACTCCTACTCTCAAACTTAAAAAATAGGTAAAAATCTTCAAGAAAAAAGCATTCTAGGGGCACCTGGTTGGCTTAGTCAGTAGAATATGTGAATCATCTCAGGGTTAAGTTCAAGTCCCACACTGGGCACAGAGATTACTTCAACAACAACAACAAAACCTCTATCAAAATCTTAAAGAAAAAAAGACTCTATCTACTCTTGGAGAAATTTCAGCAAAAAGACTGTAAGGAGTGACTAAGGTAAGGGGACATACATAGCTCTTTTTAAGAACTCCAGCAAACTCAAAATTTTTTCTTTTCATCTTCTATAAATGAGTTCACTCAAGCTCAAAGTAGCTATATTTTGAAATGTTTCCATCTTTGTTTTTAACAATAATAAATCTTATCTCCCCCTCAATAACTCCTCAGGTCCTTGTACACATTATATATTTAACATCTGTCATCTTAAATAACCTCCCCTCTGCCTGGGCATTTTCCACACAAGATCATCATTTTGAATCGTATGTATAACACTCATTCCCACCCAGTGCTTGTGCTCCCACAATTCACAAATTAAATTACATTTTCAATTGTTCAGTTACTCCTGCAAAGATCAGCCTTACAATGTTTCCCTGTTTCTCAGTTTAATTTAAGGACAAATACCCAGAAATGGAACTTGTGGTGTAAGTTCCATTCCAAAATTTCTAAAAATTCCAAAAATTTTGATTCCAAAAATTTCTATAGCTCTTTACACAAATTGCCAAGCTACTTAAGAGAGTGCCCTGTTTAGCAACCAGCAACACCCGCACCTCATGTTTGCCACACAAGCATTTTCTCTTGTCACCAATTCTCCATCATCCTAACTGTGGTCTCGGCAGCACCCTTAATTCCTAGGCTTATCCAAGGATTTTCTAAGGATAATTTCCAGCATTCTAACACCTAGTTAAATTTCCAACATAGAAAACTCAACCAATGAGAACAATGGTCTCATTTATTTCTATTACTTTGTCTACAATCACTACAGAGAAAAAATCTTTGTAGGAAGCATCCACACACAGGTGTCACAGTTAGTCACCCTCTTCACATCCTAATTAGGAAGAAAACAGGTTTTCTGCTTCTGTTTAATAGGAACATAAGAACATTGTCCTCTGCTTAACCAAAAACCACCATCCCTCCCAATCCAAATTCAAAGCATCTAAATAACTTCCCACGTTAAATGCTTTCTCATCCCACTGTCCCAATTTTGGCCTAAGCACACCAAGTCTCTCTCAGAACTCATAAAGTATCTAACTGTCTCAAAATACCTGAAAGTAATGCTGTGAACCCTCTGTGCACTGCTGCACCTCTACAACTTTGGGCAAGCCATCCTGATTGCAAAGCCTTCCTCCTTTTTTCTCTACCTCAGACGACAGAGCTCTTGGCAGCAACTCATCTATTCCTATAGCTTTTTGAAGGAAGATACCTGTGGCCACAGCATAAGGTGTCCCTTAGGTCTGAGGCTACACATGATATCCCCCCACCTCCACATAAATAAAGCCAACATTCTGCAAAGAACTGCCAAGAGGCTACCGCAGTGTTTTTACGGTCAGGCCAAGTCCTTCTCTTTCCAAGCCTCCGGTCTCTATACTTTTCAGGCCAACTTCCCTCACCCTGCTCCAGCAAAGAACACCTTTCTAAGTCCCCAACAAGCATTCTTTAAGCTCTGGAGAGAATATACAACTCCTCCAAACGCATTCTAAGTCCCTACCGAAATTGCTCAGAGATGCAGACTTCTGACACCTAAACCCAGAAGTGGGGCCCAACTCACTTGTTGCACATCAGCAGCACTTCAAGCTCCTTGACGTTGTGGACTAAGAA